AATAGTATTTTGTTAATTGCTAACACAGAATATTCTTAATTCATTAACACATAACTGTTATATACATGTACTATGAGTACAAAATTGCACCGAAATTCTGAATAAAGTATTCTTTGTCTAATGTCTACCATAATATTTAAAACTTTGAGAGAGAGAGAGAGAGAGAGAGAGAAATAGTTGAATTCAATAATCTAATAAAGGTTGTAGTATTGTACTCAACCTCAACAACATTATATACTTTTATCTAATTTGGATGAAATGATTGATAGTATAGTGAGACTCACCAACAGAACTAGTTTTGTCCGGAAGATCAAGGAATTGGAGTAGAAATCTAATGCTATGTTTAATCTGTGCTTTTGGTAACCGATATAATCTGCCAAAGAATGTGAGCGTCTCTTCTATAGTAAACTCTTGGAAAAGACCGATCTCTTGAGGCATATAACCCACTCCCGGGCCGGGAACTAATGAATTATAAGAACCCGGCTGTTCACCAAACACTATAACTGTGCCTTTTCTTGGTTTGAGACTTCCAACCAGACAGTGAACAAGAGTAGTTTTGCCACAACCACTCGGACCTAAAATGCTATAACTATTGAACAAAAAAAAGTGATTTATTTGATAAATGTGTCAAAAAGTGATCGGAAAAAGAATAAAAATGAGATTAAAAGCACTATTTGTTGTGAAAAGGGATGAGAAATGAAAGAATAAATGACAAAAAGATGAGTCCAAGCAGTGCATTAAGAATTGTTTATCTCATTCACAGTCAATACATACATATTTCCTTCGGGAACATTGATTGTGATGCCATTGAGAGCATTGACAGCCTTTTTGCCCCTTCCGTACGAAAAGACAACATTCTTGACTTGAGCTGCGATTCTCTTATCACTAGATTCTGGCGTTGAGTTCATTCGTGATCTCAATCTATCTGTCATTAACGACTCGTTTGCAAACAACATATCACTGGCCGTCGAGTCCTGCTTTTGATTCACTGCTTCCAACTCTATGTGAACGCTCTTCTCGTCCGACACCTCTGGCCATTGCAATAGAGAGGATGACGGCTCTTGTCGTATAGGCACACACTTCTTAGACTATCCGTTCAGACATTCAAATTCAAGAGTTTGTCAAATTTGCATTCAATATAACAATCAATTATATTCTTACATTTTTCTGCTCACAAGTTAACAGATTTTCGTTCACTTCCTCTTCAATTGAATTTGACATAACTTTTTGCAAATTAAGATTCTGTTGTCCAAACAAATTACAATATTATATAAATATTCTCTGTATTAATAGTTCAAATTCTCTAATAATCAAATCTTTGTTTGTAAAATTTAAACATTAAATCTATCCAAAAGTTAATTCTAGTTTAAATTGGAAAATAATAATCTTGTACAAAATTGTATAATTCATTATTAGAGGGTGAGATTCATTAAATTAATCCACAATAAATTAATGTCATATCATATGATTTTATCATTACAATGAATTCTACTGTCTATTAACTTACATTATAAGTTAACCTAATTTATAAACCTAATTATAGCAAATGTTTAGTATCACAGTGATTAGGAACAAATAGTTTTGGAAAAATAAATTATGTTAATTAATAAATAAATGGTTTTGTTGTAAAAATTGCAAGTGTTATACAGTCATAAAGGACTTATAATCTCGTATGAACAGGTTTTAAGTCAATAACAATTAAATACTCATTCAATAAATTGTCTTGTTTCTAACCATCTGTACTAAACATATGAATCTAAATCATTGACAATTAATAAGTATTTCCTGAATATTAGAGCAATGAACAGGTTTTAAGTCAATAACAATTAAATACTCATTCAATAAATTGTCTTGTTTCTAACCATCTGTACTAAACATATGAATCTAAATCATTGACAATTAATGCAATTATATGGTTATAACAAATGACAAGCTAAAAGTGGCATAACTGATAACCAAAACAAATGCGTGTAACTATTTGGCAAATTGTTTAAATAATTAATGATTATTTAACTAATTAGCAATTCTAATCGATTTGACATTAGATTATATGATAAAATGAAATGCACTTTAAATATATTAGTTGTGCACTATAACTATAATATTGAGATCTCAATGCATATTATAGCGTAAATTATGTGCATTAGTGCCTATTCTTTAGCATATTCTTGAGTCAATTGATATTCTGTTCAATTAATGAATTATTGAATGAATCTTATAATACAATCGATATGTTTAGACATAATATCACTCGAAATGATTGTAATAAATAGGAAAATATTGGAGAAATGCTTGAATATTATGAATAAGGAAAACAATGACAGTAATTAAATATAACAATAACTTACACTTGAATTGTATGTATTTTGGTGTCAACACTGAGTGCTTGCATTCGAGTCAATGGAAAGTCTTATCAAATCTCACAAACATTTTCCAATTGATTACACATTTCAATGAACAATATTTGTATGTTTCACAGCTAGTCATCAATTATTGAATTCATTGTTTCAATCATTTTTG